TCTTTGGAGTCATGGCCTGGCCTTCCAGTTCCTGCACTAAAAATGCCTCCAGTTCATCTTATGGAGACCCTAAAGCAAACCTATCGTGGGGTCTTCTGGGGCTGAGAGAGTGTGACTCCCCCACGGTCCCCCAGTGGGTCTCTGTGGCCAAGTGTGAATTCATTCGAACCCTGGCTTTAGAGACACGGCCTGGAGCTCAAAAATGCCGCCAAAAATGGAGCACCTGAGGGAAACTGACCATGGGGTCTTCTGGGGCTGAGAGAGTGTGACTCCCCCAGGGTCCCCCAGGGCTTCTCCTTGACCCAGCAAAGAGACTGCACAGAATTCTTCATCCCTTAAAATATGTTTTAGAAGTGGGGAGGTTATGGGATATAATAAATAGAATAATAATAATATAATAATAATAATAGGGCGTTAGAGTTGTTCCTCTGTAGATGATGGGACCTGCTTTCTTTCCCACAAGGCGGAGACTGAGCGGATCCACCAGAAAGATCGGATTTGAGGTGACCTGTGTGGCCTTGCGATCGGCAGCAAGGAGATTGCAAAATGGAGGCTCAGAGCCCTGCCAGAGAGGAGCCAGGAAGAACCCGGACGGTCCTGGGTGCGAGTTCGGCAAAGCCATCCGACTGGCACCAACGCTTTCGGGAATATGGCTACGGGGATGGCGAGGGTCTGCGAGGGGTCTGCAGCCAACTCCACCGCCTTTGCCGCCTGTGGCTGGAGCCGGAGAAGCGCTCCAAGGCCCAGATGGTGGACCTGGTGGTGCTGGAGCAGTTCCTGGCCGTCCTTCCCCCGGAGACGGAGTCCTGGGTTCGAGAGTGCGGGGCGGAGAGCTGCGCTCAGGCGGTGGCCCTGGCGGAGGGCTTCCTCCTCAGCCGGGAAGAAGAGATGCGCAAGGAGGAGGAAAAGCAGGTGAGGGGACCCAGGAGAGCGGGAACGGGACCCCGAGGGTCATCCAGTCTGACCCCCTTCGGCCATGAGAAAGGGACCACTGGGGCACTCCTCATAAATGTGGTCAAGGATGAATAATTTGTTATTCAATTTAATGATTTTTTAAAATTTCTTTTTATTGAGATTAAAAACAAAAATAGTCATACAAACATACAAAACGAACAAATTCCAAACAAGACAAACATATACATAAAAACATATATCTCTATCATCTTATCTAACCTAATTTCGAATCTTGTTCTATTTATATTTACATACAACCAATAACTTACACACAACAAATAATAGCGTTGATTCTTATTCCTTATATTTTCTTTCTTCCCAGTTTGAGCAAACCTTACTTTATTTTCTTTTAATTCCTAGATTCTCTCTCTTTCCTGCTTTTCCAACCGAGTCTGTCGATATCTATATATCTAATCTTCTGCTTTCCACGCTTTGGTAATCAATTATATTAGTATTTTAATTATATTCCAAAAGTTTCTTTGCTTTCCTCAATGTATATTCTTATACCATCTTATTCTTTCTTTTCTCATCTTTTAACCATCTAGTTTTCTTCTCCTCCTCTTTTGTTTGCTGTCCTATAATAATCACTCGTTCTCCATCATTTCTGCCTCCGCATATTCTTTGTATTCTCTTGTCTCTTTATTTTCTAGCTTAAACCTCATTACCTATTCTCTTTGTGTTTCTTCGTTTTTTCCTTTTCTTATTCATTTCTTTTTCTATATATTTCTCTACTGTTTCCCATTGTTTCTTGGTTTTATCTGTTGCCTTGTCTTGTATTAAAGCCGGGAGGATATATCCATTCTCATGGCTTCCTTCAGTTTCAGAAACCATTCTCCTAT